GCATTTAATATAATGAAGATTTAAGCAAAAGTTTATGTTATATGATGTTTATCTGTATTGTTATTATTATATATAATATATTAATATAATATATTAATATAATATATTATTATAATATATTATTATAATGTATGTAATATGCAATATATATATATATATATAATATGCATAATATATATTGTATAGATTGTATATATAAGACATATTATATAAAGCGTATATATATATAATATATATATTATATATTATATAATATATATATATATATATCATATATTATGCATATTATATATTTAATTGTAGATATAATATATATAATATAATGTATAGGAAGCATATAATATATATATATTATATATAATATATTTAATATATATGCTTTATATATTGTAGATAATTATATTTATATCTTCATACAACACGCCAAGATAGAGGAGAGTTTAAACCGCATAAAAGTTTTGGGGTTTTGCAGGTCAACAAAACCCTAAACCCTAAACCCTAAACCCTAAACCCTAAACCCTAAACCCTAAACTGCCAAGGAGTAGGATTCCGTTAGGAGTTCTTCTCGTCTGCCGCTATCGTCGCTCTGCACACAAACACAAACCCTAAACCCTAAACCTTAGACCCTAAACCCTAAATTATAGGCCCTAAACCCCCCAAACCGTAGACGCTAAATCCTAAACCCTAAACCCTAAACCCTAAACCCTAACCCCGCAAACCCTAAACCCTAAACCCTAAACCCTAAACCCTAACCCCCCAAACCGAAACCCTAAACCCTAACCCCCCAAACCCTAAACCCAAAACCCAAAACCCTAAACCCTAAACCCTAAACCTCCAGACCGTAGACTTTAAACCCTACTTGATGAATGCGTCTTCCATGTGTCTCGAGACATCAAACCTCTCTCTTTCTTTTGCTTTTCTTGCTTCTGCTGCTGCTAATTGCATCTGCTCTCCTAACCACTGCAGCGCCTCTGCTCTAAGCACTCGCACTTCAATTGAGACGGATTCGTCTCGGCATATCTGTACAAACAAACACATTAAACATTTATTTATTTATTTATTTTATTTTATTTTATTTAGTGCATTTAATTATATTTATTGTGCTGGGTTTTGTATATTTTATAACAGTAATACACTGAAGAAAACAAAAAAAAAGTAAAAATAAGTGCAGTGTACACACAAACAAAACAGAAGTAGACTTTAAATAAATAAATAAATAAATAAATAAATATATAAATATATAAATATATAAAATAAATAAATAAGAAGATTGATTATAGAAACAGAGTAAAGAATTTTAAATAAATAAATAAATAATAAAAGAAAGTTAATTAAGAGCATGGAGGCGTAATCATAAACCCTCATAAACCCTAAAACCCTAAACCCTAAACCCTAATTAATAAATCCTGATAAAGATCCAAACAGTAAACCCTCATAAACCCCCGCAAACCCCAGTAAACCCTCATAAACCCTAATTAATATGCCGTCGTCATCTGTGATTAATAAACCCTCGCAAACCCTCCTAAACCCTAATCAGTAAACCGTCTCAAGCCCCCAGTTGATAAACCCTCGTAAACCCTAAACCCCCGTAAACCCTAAACCCTAATGAATAAGCCCTAATGAATAAACTCTACCTTCTCTGCTGCTTTTCTTGCGGTGCTTTCTACATAACTAAACCCCCCAAACGAATAAACCCTGATAAACCCTAAAACCTGATATAAACCCTAAACCCTGATAAACCCTAAACCCTAATGAATAAACCCTACCTTCTCTGCTGCTTTTCTTGCAGTGTCTTCAACATCGCAAGCCACGATAGACAAAACACTCTGCAGGATCTCGCCTACCTTGTCAATCTGCACGCCAAACCCTAAACCCTCAGCTCCATACGGTTTATATTAGGGTTTATGTTAGGGTTTATATTAGGGTTTATGTTTGGGTTTATATTAGGGTTTATGTTAGGGTTTGTATTAGGGCTTATGTTAGGGTTTATATTACGGTTTATATTAGGGTTTAGTAGGGTTTATATTAGGGTTT